AAAAAAAATAGAATAACTGAAATTTTTCAAAATTAAAAACTTTTGTGCTTTGAAGGTCATTATCAAGAAAGAGAAAAGAACCCAAGAATGGGGAACAAATTTATACGTCATACTTCTTCTCAGGGACCAGTATACACAATATATGTATAGTGTCTACATAGAGAGAACTTGTACAACTCCACAATAAAAAACACAAATAGCCCACTTAAAAACTGGGCAAAAGATCTTAACTGATATTTCTTCAAAGATATACAAATGGCCAATTAGCAAATGAAAAAATGCTCAACATCATCAGTCATAAAGGAAATGCATATCAAAACCACAATGAGATACCACTTCACACTGACAAGAACGGCTATAATCAAAAAGATGGACAATAACAAGTGTCAGCAACGATGTGGAAAAATTGAAATGTTTATACACTGCTGATGGGAATGTACAATGGTGCAGTCACTTTGGAAAACAATTTGGCAGTTCCTCAAAATTTAAACATAGAGTCACCTATGACTCAGCAACTCAACTTCTAAGTATACACATAAGAGAACTGAAGGATTTGTTCACACAAGAACTTGCACATGAATGTTCATAACCGTATTATTCAGAATAAATAAAAATATGGAAACAAACCAAATGTCCATCAACTGATGAATGGATAACTAAAATGTATTATACCCATATAACAAGATATTATTCAACTATAAAAAGGCATAAAGTACTGATACATGCTATAACTTTAAAATAAGTGAAAGAAGTCATTTACAAGACCATATACTGTATGATAGCATTTATATGAAATGTCCAGAATAGGGAACTCCATAGATTAGTGGTTGCAATGGGCTGTGGAGAAGGGGAAATGGGGAGTGACTATTAATGGGTATTGGGTTTTTTCTTGGGAGTGATGAAAATGTTCTAAAACTAGACGGTGGTGATGGCTGCATAACCTTGTAATATACTAAAAATCATTATACTGTACACTTAAAAAAAGGGAATACGAGGTGCCTTCAAAATTCTGCAAGGTGATTATTTTCAACCTAGAATTCCATATGTGAACTTAAATACTGGGAAAATGGTGCAGGAAAAGTGGCACTTGGGGCTGGGGTGGGTGAGGGAGGAAGTGCTCTATTTAAGAGGGCTAACTCCTCAGCTACCATAATAAAAAGCTAGTATTTATTATTTAAAATGTAAAAATTTCAGAAATAGCAATATCAGAATACTACTTAGAAATATAGCAGTAAGTTCCAGAAGAAAAAACTAAAAGACTGTCTCTAAGTAGTGAGGCCCATAAATAGCCAGTAAATGACAGATATGATTTTTATACTCTCGTATTTATTATTTTAATACAAAATTTTAAACAATCATTTAAAAAAGAGAAACATTATCATACTCTTAAAAAATGGGGCTATCTGAACAATGTAGTGAAAAAGGCCTAGCACTGGGGTCAGAGGACAGGATTTCATGTCCCGTGGCATTTATTCCCTGTGTGATCCTGAGCTAATCACTGTGTCTTAGTTGCCTCATCTGTAAAACTGGAGATAAAATTACATAACAAAGAGCTTTTATGAAAATTAAATGAAACAAAGTAAAAAGCA